CCTGACATGCATGACTGGAATGTGAGCAGAAAGCTTCAGCCCTAGTAGCTTCAGGCGCCCGAGAAACATGGGTCAGCCAGTGCATCTTGAAATGAGGGAGAAAATCTGTGAAAGCCTGCATGTAAATTCCCCTCAAATCCTTGGTTGCCTCCCGAACTGCACATGTATGAACGAAACTCAGGGATTCCAGGAGCAAGAAAACAGCTGGAAGGCTGAAACCTGAGCAGAGATTTCAGTTATAGCCTGCCACGGGAGTGGGGGGTTGGAGAGTGGATCTCAAGTTCTTACAGGACCTGTGCAAACACTGTGGGCTCCCCATTAAAACCACAGAAAGTGCAATGCTTTAGGAGAAAACTCATGTTCCATGAGTAAAGAATTTGCATTAGGACTAAAGGGTAAAACTGAAATAGACTTACACTAACATATGAAACCTGCAAGAGTTCAAAGTGGAACCTTAGCAGGCTTTGCCTGCTAAAACAAAGGTCAACACAATTCAGAAGAAGATAATAGAATCCAAAGCCTCTACAAAGTAGCATTCACAGTGTTCATAATATACTAAAAATATATAGATACATGAAGAACACGAAAATGTGATTCCTAACCAAGAGAAAAAACACGTAATAGAAACCAGCCCCAAGATGTTAGAATTAAATTTAGAAACAGCTATTATAAATATAATATGACCTCAAATGAATAGGAGGTCATAATGAACAGAGTGAATTTCAGCACAGAAATAGAAATAGCAAAAGAGGACTAAATGGAAATGTTAAAACTGGAAAGTCTAACAACAAATGAAAAATTAATTGGATGGGCTCTAATTGACCGTAACAGACAGGAGATGAAGAAGAAACTCTATGGAAAAGAATCTCTAGTCAAAAGAATAGAGAGTAACATGATAAAAAAACAAAACAAAACAAAGCATCAGGGACCTGAGAGATCATGTTAAACATGTATTAGGATGATGTCTAAGAAGGAGAGAAAAGGGCGAATAGGGCAGAAAAAAGCATTTGAAGAAATAATGGCCTACAATTTCATGATTTTTTTTTTATTAACTTACAGTTCCAAGAATTATACTAAATCCCAAGTAGTAGGTGCATAAAGAAAACACAGCTAGGCACATCATAGGCAAATTCATGAAAACCAAAGATAAATAGAAAACCTGAAAAGTAATTAGGAAATGAATGCACATTACACATCAAGGAAAAAATGCACGTAAGAAACAACAGTACAAAATTTAAAAGCTGAAAAACACGTCAACCCAGAAGTCCATGTGCAGTAAAAATGCTATTTTAGAAACACGAGTGATAAAAATACATTTTCAGATAAATAACAGCTGAGATAATTCCTCATCAGCTGTCCTGTGTTTCAAGTGCTGCCATAGAAAGTTCTTTAAGGTGGGAGGAAATTACACAAGATGGAAGCAGATTGACAGAAAGTAATGAAGAGCACCAGAAATGGTAGATATGTAGGTACTTTTAAAATGCTAATCTTTTCCTTCTTTGATATTTTTTAAAAAGGCATTGTTAAAACAGGAATTACAACAATGTACAATTGGGTTTATATGAACATGATAATTGCAAAAAGATGGTTGTGAATTGAATTTACATAGCTGTAAGGTTGTTACTCTTCATGTTAAGTGATACAATATTACCTCTCAAGTAGGTTATAGTGAATTAAAGATTCAACTTGTAAACTCCTAGAGCAACCACTAAGTAAGGTACAGTTAAAAGGTAATAGGGCACTAAAATGAAATACTAAAGAAATTTGATAATCCCAAAAGAAGGCAGGGGATAAAAAGGAAGAACAGAAAGAAGAGACAAATGAAAAACAAGTAGCAAAGTGGCTGACCTAAATCTGATCTTATAGTTTCATAAAAGGACTAAACTCAAGATTATCATACTTGGTTTTAAAAAAGCAAAAGCCAACTATATGCTGTCTATAATAAATAACTTTACATATGAAGATACAACCAGCTTGAAGGCAAAACCATGGAAAAAATATACCAAAAAAAAAAAATACAAAAGCACTAGAAAGCAATGTGGACTACCTTAGTACAAAACAATGAAGATTAGAATAGAAGAATTTTGCCAGTGGCAGGCAGTGACATTTCAATGATAAAAGAATTAATTAGGAGAGCATAACAATTATAAAATTATATGCACTTAATACTAGACTTGCAAAATTAAAATAAGAAATGGACAAATTCATAACCACATAGATTTTTTTTTCTAATTTTTTTTTATTAAAAAGTTTATTTTTACATCATTTTTCACATTTTTTTTT